GTATTCCTATGTGTCTCCTCCCATTGGGAGGATCACCAGGGAGTTGCACAGGCCTTTCCGACCTTAACCACTAATTTACTCTTAATTTACTGGTTGAGGATTCTTTGCGGATAAAGCGAGAATTGATTTACTAGGTAAAATTTTCCAGGCAATTTACCAGGTCAAGACCTGCTATCAAACCCACTAATTTACTGGGACCGCTGTAGTGTGAATAAAGTTGTTACAGTACTGCCAAGGGTACCCACTTGCATATTTATGCAAAATCTTTGTAGTGACGTGTTGCCTAACAGTCCTGAGTCCTGCTTCATGTTGTTAACCTCTTCAACAGCATAATCGCTGACAAACAGGCTGGCAATATTTTATCAAGGATTTTATCTAGAGAACAGGCAGGTCTTGAAACTGGTCAGACCAAGAAATAAGCAAACTGTCAGCACAGAAATGGAAATAGTACAGCTGTCAGGAACTGTCCAGGACTTGGTTATATATGACAAGATAACTGCTGCTCTTCATATTTTGGTAACTAACCACGAGGTCAGATTCTATTTACGTTTAGACCTTCCCCTGATGTCTGCCAGCCACTTCTCTGACTTCTCTGAAACAAAATGTCTTCAGTAAGATTCCTAAAGCTACTAACAACTGAAAGAACCGGTGATACAAAAGGCATTGGTTGTTATAGGTAATCAACTGCTTGACAGTGGTCATTTTCTGTCTGAATTTTTTCTTTAGTGCTTGGCTTGATCAGTAAAAGCTATACCCCTTGCAGTACTGCCACCTGCAGGTGATAAAAGGTACTCCAGTTCCACTATTACAAGGCTAAGTGTTCTGGAGCTGACCTGAATATTTAGTGGGACTAATTTGCATGTGTGGAAGGTGCTAATTCTTGTTTAAAATGAGAATAAGGTCCTTGTCAATTACTGGGTTATATGTGGGAAAGCTTCTGAAGATACTCTTTGCAAAGCATGCGTGTCTGCAAAGACAATGCAATGTTTTTGGCATTGATCTGTGGGGACAGCATGGATCCTGCCATCCATGTGAATGTTACTTACACTCATACCCTAAGTATCGTTGGAGACCATGTAAACCCTTTTAATGGAAGCAATATTCCCCAGTGGCTTTGGTTCTTTTCAGCAGAATAATGCACCCAGCCACAAAGCAAAATAAATAAATGGTGAAAAACATTTCTCAGATTTGAGTCAAAGTAACTCCAATATATTCATAAAGCAAAAACTGGAATACACAGTTTACGTCTTTACAGATGAAAACTGTCATATCTCAATTTCTTTAATCTATAACGACAAAGTAGTGTGTTGCTTTACCCAATTTCCATTTCACCTCATATCTTGATAATTCATACGGTGATAATATATGATTTCTGAAATTTGGCCTTAGAATTAAATGCAAGCAATGGTGAGTGTGCTTGGGAAAAATGGACCTGTTGACTTAAAACTGTTAAAAAGATTTAAAGCCAAAAATATAGCTTTTTATTGTCTCCTAAAACAGCACATAATATGTCATTACAGACCACCTCCTAGCTGTAGCATCTCAGAATGATGAGCTCAGTGGTTGGATTACATCATGTTGCACTCCAGCTTACGATCTGCACACATTCTGCAGACACTAATATAAAAATGCTTCAAGACAATTTTTTTGTGTGTGTGTAATTTTGCAGTAGCAGCTTTCTGATAAACCAATGTAACAAAATGTATCACAACCACAATACACACTCAACAATGCAAGTAATTGGTATTAGGGGCAGCTTGGTTATAATGCCTTCTATATGTTGGTCTTATTCCTTCTCCCTGTATTTTTCATGTTGATTGTCATTTTGTTTGTATGTTTAAATTGCTTTGCAATTCTCCTAATCCTTTTCCATAATCTCCTTTTGTCTTTGGACATTTGCTGCAGCTTGGGCAAAAAGACAACCCAGCTGTGGACCCAATCATCCAGGGATTGAAAGGAGTAGTGCATCATGGTAAGTAATGAAAAAGGAACCTCGTGCAAAGTTTGCCTCATGTATTTCAAGGTAGATTAATATTTAGAGAAAGGATTGATGTTCTTTGCTTCTCTAGAATAATTCTATATTTTTTTTATATGTTATGCTTCATACCTAAATCTCCTTATCACAAAGCATTACATTTGGAATTAAATTTGTGTGGGATTTTCAGAAAGCAATTGACCTTTACCGAAATCCCTTTGACATTGCCTCGTACTTGACAGGGGGTGATCCAAGAGGTACATATCTCTGGCACAGATTCTGACATGCTTGCACAAAACAAATATTGATGTTCTTCGATTCAGCTGCTTAAACATAACGTGTCACAAATATTTATATATATATTTATATATTTTCCCCCTAGATTAGTCTTATCACCAAAGAGAACTAGCAGAGTAAAACTTCAGAAGCAGAATAAATTTGCAAGATACCGCCTGTCCCTTGGCAGGAAAACTGCATGAGGAGACCTCCACATTTTTACTCATAAACAGAGCTATTAATTACATCTGAACCTCATTTAGAACGCCCCCCCCCACAGTTTCTGTCTTGTATATCTTTTCATGGACTATGGCTTCTGCAAAGCCTCACACACGCTTTTAACTATTAATGTTCTTTGTTATGTGCTGTGGCACAGGTCTTAATGACATTGCTCATTCCATAAAGTTACTGCTGCTGGGCTGAAATCACTGTATGCATATTTACTGCAGATTGAGCCTCACTGTTTGGCTCCTTTTAAAACCTGATGGTGGCAGTGATTTTTGCAAGCATTACTGTACACTTTCAGGGAGTTATACGTTTTGGAGCCATGATGCAATTTGTCTACCCCCGTGACGGCTTCACTCGGTTGATTCTGATTAAAAATTGAAAAGTGATTGATGTGTGGTTTTTGGACTTGCACGAATATGTTTGAGACGTGACAAAGACAGCAAAATATATTGGATAAAAGCCTCTCATCCCCAGAGACTACCAGCATACATATTTTTTTGCAGTTTTTTTTTTTTTGCCCTGGGAAAGTAAAATGGGTCATTTTAACTGGATGAAAATCCAATAAAGAAAAACGACTGTTCTCTGATTAGTCTGCCATCAACTGGCAGACCATATCTGTTGCAGTTTTAGTTCACTGAATTATTGAAGCCCCTCTGTTTTCTAAAAGGCATTGGCCGGTACATGAGTGTGATAACCTTTAGTGGAAATAATATCATGCTGTTAGCATGCTAAACCAAGCATCACTTAAAATGTATAGCATCACATTATTGTGTTTATTTATTATTATTCAAGAATAGTACTGCTTAAGGTGGCTGAATGTTACAGAAGCTCTGCTAGCTTGATCTTCTTTTTATAAGAACTTTTAGTTTCTCCATTTGTGAATCAAAGTTTATTTTTTGGATATTATTTGCTTCAGGTGTTAAAAGCTGTGAAACTGGCTGGATTTATAATGTTATTTTCCCCTTTTTTAATACTTGTTATGATGCGTAACCACAGCTGCCATAGAAATTATATATTTTTACACCAGGGAGCAGCTCTTTTACATCTCTATAGCTGAAATAATAGAGGAACCAACAAGAAGGCGCCGGGGATCCTGAACAGAACCAATCAGACGACAGAGAAACAAGAAATATAAGCCATCTCTTCCATCAATCATCATGGGCAATGGGAGATCTTTAGGAAACAAGCTAGAAGAACTCCAAGCTCTAGCAAGGACCCAGACAGAATATTGGTAATGCAAAATGATGTGTCAGGCTTTCTGACCATATTAGCCGACAGAGATTTAAAGAACACTGGAACATTCAAAGGAGGTGGGTTGGCAGAGCTTGTGAACAACAGATGGTGTCATGCAGGACATGTCACTGTGAAGATTCCTCACTACAGCCAAGATGTTGAACTGTTGGCAGTTAGCTTTTGGCCATATTATTTGCCCAGAGAGTTTACCAGTGTTCTGTTGGTAACCATTTATATTCCACCATCTGCTGTTGCCAACACTTGTGAAGTAATCAGTTCCACTGTTTCTAAGCTACAGACACAACAGCAGAATGAATTTGTGGCAATAACCGGTTATTTCAATCTATCCTCACTCTCTGCTACACTGCTAGGGTGAGAGCATTAGAGCAAATGTTTTGAAAAAGCTCAATGTTCTAATACAGAGAGCCGGCCCTGTTCTAGTAAACTAGAGGAGAGGATTTCACATAGAACAATTCTGATAAAGTGAAGAAGATCATGAACAACAGTTCAATTCAATTCAGTTTATCTATCTAGCGCCAATTCACAACTATTGTCATCTCAAGTCACTTTACAGTTTAACCAGATCATAAAGACAAGTTGATTCAAGGTTTTCTATCTAAGGAAAACCAGTTGATTGCATCGCAATCCCTCACACTAATCATGCTTGGAGCGACAGTGGAGAGGAAAAACTCCCTTTTAACAGGAAGAAACCTCCAGCAGAACCAGGCTCAGTGTGAGCGGCCATCTGGCCATCTCACAACAATGAGCATTCTCTTCAGAAGATTGACAAACAAAAAAAGAGTGTCTTCAGTCAGAGGTTTTTCCAGATCTGATGCAACACAGACCACAACAGAAGATCCAACATCTAAAAAGAATAAAAAAAAATACATCTAGGAGTTACTGCAACATTTAATTTCCCAATAGGATTATTAAAGTGTTTTTTGAATTTGACTTTAAAACTAAAACATTTTAATTGTTCCTTGTTTTGCTGACATTAAACAAAATTTGCTTCCATGCTTCCATTATTGTTATCTATAACATTTATGTTATTTATTATTAATCTTTTTATGGTAATTTTGATTCTGATACATAAAAATGGATAAAAATTAAAAACATGCACACATTTATGTAGCAGTTCTCAAGCTCTTATAGCACGGGATATAAATCCTTTCCCCATCTAGCCAGTGTGTAGGAACAGAAGTAAAGCTCTGTGATATTAGATGCTGCATTAGTTGGCCCCTGTGGTTTGGTACTGTCTGCATTCAGCTGCGTGACGGTTATGATGCTCTTCATAGGGAGCATGAAATGTCATGGTTAGAAAAAAATTGTGTTCCTGTTCTTGTAGTCTCAAATAAAATAAAATACATTTTTTTGTTCTCGCTGAGTGTACACAAGTCTTTTATATCTTTATACCAGCATTTGACCGCTGCTTATTTTTGTAGCCTTAAGATAAAGAAATTGTTAAACACATCAATTACTTTATAAATCCGTGAGCTTAAACTCACTGTAATTGGATTTTTTCACTATTTGATTAATAAAAAAAACCCATTTTTTAACTATTCAGAGATAAACAATAACTGCATATCTATAAACAGTCTCTGTGCCTTTAGGAGCATCCTTGGGTTCACTGTCTTGTTCAGGGATATTCTGTGTTATGGAGGGGTCAGGGACTGCTTGGTGAGCCCTGAATATTGGTCGACAACCTGCACTACCTTTGGAGCCAAAGCCTGCTTGGCATGATTGTGTGCTGTGCATATACACAGCTGTTTGTTCTAGCACCATAGAATCCCATTTCCCCAGCTGACAAAGAGCTTGGCATGGATGTTGCAGCTTTTTGGACTGCCGTCCTGCTAGCTGCTAAATACTCCTCGCCTTCTCCCCTCATAGGATACTTGCTTTTCCACTAGCTCGTTATCCCACAGTCATCCATCCATCAGCATCTCGGCGGCCCAGTAGCGATAGGGCACGTACGCGTCTGAAGACATGGAGAAGAAAGCCCGTGCATACTGAGTCGGACTCAGAGTACAGATGAGGCAAAGGGGAGAGGCTTCCCCTGCCTCTGTTGTTTGAATACAAACTCCACCCTGAACCTCTGTTTCTTTAAAGATAAGCCATAGGCAGGGAGAGATTGGATTTCATGTAAATTCAGTTTTATTTTGGCTCCTTTCATAATTGTGGGAAAAAACAAACCGACCGCCATAAAGCTGACAGTATAAATGCAGCAGATAAAGCCATCTTCCTCTAGACGTTTTTCTTTTTTTTTTTTCATTTGTATTTTTTCTTCCAGTCTTTGCCAGGTCTTAATCACACAATAGAACAAATCTGCTAATCATAATGATCTGTCTTAATCCCTGTGGCCTAGCCAGAGTTGTTACATAGAGCGAAGATCGTTGCCACCCAGTCACAGATCAGCTGTCAGGGTTGGCCATCTTATCAGACTCCCCTGCTTTTGCTCCTCTCTCAGTCCATCTCACTACAAAGATCTGGCCAGGGTGATAACAAGTACTGAAGCTTTTAACTACTGCCCTACCGTGAGAAGAGGTTTCAGGAACGCTGTAAAATGCCACAAGGAGGGTGAAATGGGGCCATGCCCAGAACACCAAGCTTTAAAGATCTGTTCACTAACATATTTTAATCCTATGTCTCTTCCAGAAAAGGAGACCAACCTCAGGTCATTCATCTTGAGGGATCTGCTGCCGTCGTCAGTGGACAGTTATTACCGATACACTGGCTCCTTGACCACTCCGCCCTGCAGCAAAGTAGTGGAGTGGATCATCTTCTCCAGGCCTGTGTATTTGTCCCACTCACAGGTGTGTTAAGTCCACTCACACACAGACACACACACTGTAACTGCTGTATTCGCAACACACTAAGATCCCATTTGTGGATCCATTGCAGTTCACTGCTGTGAACGCACTAGCAATTTTCCCCATGAGCCTCACCTCCTTAGTCCCTTTAGCACGTTCCTCTCCAGCTCCTTTGCATATGAAACCATGACTGCATACGCAGGGCATGATTAAACAGGACGGCTGAGCCAATTACTGGCACCTATGCATACAGTAAGTAGAGTAGCAGTGGTAAGTATTGAACATGTCAAGGGTTTTCTCTGTAAATACATCTCTGATGAACTATGTGCATACAGTTCAAAGGAGATGTTTGTAACAATCCAAATAAAGAAATAAAATAAAAAACTGGATTCAAATACAGTTGTCTGTATTTTTCTGATCATTGTTTTCTATAAAAATTATTAAGAAACCTGTTAACACCACATCCTCAAAGTCGACTTCTTGTTTTAGTGTCAGTTATGCGGCACAGCAGCACCACCCTTTTTGCTGCAGCTTATCAAAAAGTCCTGTCTGCATTTAAATGGGCCTATTATGTTTTTTTATATTGAAAGTTTTAACACTGCCAACTGTGCCCTAACACACTTGCATGCAGGCGTGTTAGGGCACAGTTGGCAGTGTTAAGGACTCTTATTTAAAAGGTCAGGCTTGTTAAAGAGCCACCATAAAAAGATGAACCTTAAAATTTTTGCAGTTAAATTTGGAAAAGCCTCCATATAAATTGTTGTGATTATAGCTCTGGTTTTGAGAATCTTGGAATTAATATTGTGGTCATGATATTGTCTGGCTCTGACTACAACGCTCCAACAAATATGACATGTCCATTGACCAGAATGTGTAAAACCAATATTTATCATGGCCAGTCCAAAAAATTTTGTGAAAATGTAATTTTTTATTTTTTATTTTTTTCGCCCCTTCAGCAGCGGGATCTTGCTCTGTAATGGATGCATACAGTAGATCCCATGTTTTCTTTAAAACACTACATCTGCTAAAGGTTGGTGATTTTAAAGCTATCAGGGAAGGGTCTTTGGCTCTTCAGCAGTTATTCTGATTATTATTCTGATTATTTTTTTTACTCCTGAGACAGAAAACCTGAATAAAGCACTTAGTAACAGCTTCCTTTTGCTAAGTGCTCCAGTGTTGGTTTTTTTCTTTTGTTCAATTTTGTTCTCAGGAACATTTTAAAGTTTAGAAATACTTTCTTTAACTAAGGTTTTGATATAGCTCTGCTTTTAGGCATAATGAGAGGCCTCTTGTAACTTGGTAATAACAACTCCTTTTATAGGATATTCAATAGGATTAAACCAGCTAAAATGAAATCTACTGCTACCTAGCAGGGTTGTTCTTTAAATAGTAACACATTTCACACAGTTGCTTGACTTACTATACCGTTTCTCCTATTTTTCTCGTGCTCAATACACATCTCTATGTGTTCCACTTCATTCCACGTAGCTTGATTAATGGACTTTTTTCCTTATGTATTTCTATGCATGGATTGCTGTGGTTGGTGTTGGCATCTAGTGTGAATTCCATGACAGCAGGCCCAAAAGAGACAAATGCTAATTTTTTGAACACTTGTGCAGAAATTGTCTGTTAAAATTCTGTCGCATTGGAGCAGATCATCATACAATATCGGTTGTTTAAGTTGATCAATTTAAATACGTCCATCTACAATATCCACCCAGTGTGTGCACATGAAAAACGCAGCATTTTGCAGCCCTTGCCTGTGTGCCTTAAAACGTTTTACCTCCAGCTGTTATTGCTGTTTGTGATTTTGAGAGATAATATATGCCAAATCACGCCCCATGCCTTTTTTTTGCTGATCCCCTCCCTTCCACAGTGCTTTGCTGCATCTTTTATACATTCAATTCTTAGGCTACCCAGCTGCATATTCTCTAGTGCATTCTGTGCCGTAGAAATTTGCAGGGCTCAGTGGAATTTCTATGAACTTGCATGAGGACAAATCTTTTGTTCAAGAATGACTTCTGCTGCAAGGATATTGACCACCTCGACAATGTTTGTGACGCTCACAGATAGTCCTTTATGAACCTGTAATTCATTTCTCCAAGCACCCATAGGACACATTGATTCCACAGTATCTGTAATGTGTAGTCATTACAGCGCACGGCAGGAGATCATTCTTGGCAATCAATGGCCACAAATTTGCCCCATTGAGAAGTTACAGCCCAGCAGGTAGCCAGGGTGATGATTGAAGTCTGTGCCTGCTGCTGCCTGTGGTGTAAATGTTTCTTGCAAATACTGCTCTCCACTTGTGAACATTCAGCTACTGGCAAGTGACTACAAATGCAGTGCTGCATGATATATTATATTTAACACATTCAGACGAACATTGACTCAGTCGCACAAACACACACAGCAACTGTAGCACTTAAATTAGCTTGATAGATATTCTGTGTGTCTCTCTATCCAGCTGGATGCTTTTTACTCCATCTTCACCACGGAACAACAGGACCACGTCAAGTCTGTGGAGTACCTGACAAACAACTTCAGGCCCCTGCAAGACTTGAACAATAGGAAGATTTTTAAGTCGGCTGTGAAAGATGCATGGCAGAAAGATTTGACTGAGATATTAGGAAGCCCACACAGCACTGAGGCCTCTAGAGGTAAGATTTTTTTTTTTTTTATGTCTGAAAAGACGTATTTTCTGAACACAAATTGTCGTAGTTTTCTATTTTATGTGTCAGACTGAGCTGTTGTTAGGTGTTATCTCTAGATGGGGGTGAAGAAATTGTAAATGTTTTTCTTTGTAACAGGCTAAAAAAAAAATCTTGAATTTGTTATTCAGTTGGTTGTCTTTGAGGTTCTTGTGGGTTAATTATCTTGTCTTGCTCTTTGATGCTTTGGTTCATCGGTTAAGTGCTTAAAAAATTAACAACAATGTTTCCCTTCTCCGAAAACCGTCAAATATAGAAGGCTGGTCCAAGACATTCTAAAAATCAAAATCTTTTTGCCATTTAAATATATTTTAGATATTGCTGTGCTTTTGCAACAGAAATAAATAAGAAGTTGCTAGAGACCTATGGGCAGTAATAGAAAGATTTGCTTTTGAGGATTTTTCAGTTTTATTTCCATTTAGAATTTCTGTTTAAATGGTTAATACAACTAGGAAGATTATGATTTTTTATATATCTTTTTTTATATATTGTCAAAAATTTATACTTTTGGACATATGCTATTGCTGCTAACACAAAAGGAACTTCATACTGTTCCCAATTTGGCCCCAAAGACAGTAAGGGGAAAGATTTTTTAATCAAAACTTCACCCTTAGTTTATGATAGAATATTGAGATAAAAATATTCTGATGGATCTTAACAAATGCTTCTGTATACTCTTACAGGGTAAGCTTCAGAAATAAAGGTTACTCAAAATTAAAGTGCATTCTGTAAATGTTGAGTAGCACATAAGAGATATAGATAAAGGAAGTGGAGCTTAATTTTGTATCATTTAAAAAAATTGGTCCAATTGCTACAGTAAACAAATTTGGCAGATGTTAATTATTCAGATTTTTTGTTAAATAACTGCTGCTGCTGTTGTTTTTATTGCACACTCACTGCACAAATGAATATAAGGCATTAGTTAAATATGGTAGAATTGTTTCCTAAAGTATTTGATTCACAAGTACAAATGGATAGAAGTTAAAAAAAATATATACATATATATATATTTTTTTTCAAAACCATGAGGCATGATAGTTGTTAATTATTTACAAAGGCCACATTAGTTTTCAGTAAAATGTTTTCATTGGTGTCCTCCCTAATTTGTTGTTTCAGAAACAGTTTATAAGTTCCAATTAGATTTGATTAAAACATTAATTAAAATGTATGAGAGCACATGGTAGCATTAGTTATGGGTCCCCCTGCTTTGGTTAATGAGCACCGTGATGTATTGCTCTAAAAAAGTTTGAAAAAGAAAAAAGAGGAGAAAATAGCCTCCTAAAGTGTTTCTATGTAGCCAGAGTTCAACTTGATTTAATGAGTTAAGATGCACAACTTAGTGACAGCTGTTCTTAGTTTGGATCTACCTTTTCATTTTTTTAAAGTGAGAAGCATATTTCTTACTAGTTGTTGCTGAATAAATAATGGAGATCAAAATGTGTTCAATGAAAAAAATGCTAATAAGTATAATAATAAGCAGTGAGTGTGTTACGGTAATCTGTACGGAAATACAGACTTGTTATCGTTTTAAGTAGCTCTACTAGAGTCAGAAAAGCATTGAGGGGCCAGAGGCCCCATGTTGCCCTATTGGTGCCATGAGCATATCCCATGATAGCAGAGTCATGTGTGAGCTTTATTCGACATATTTATTGTTTATTATTGGAAATCTCAAAATAAAATTAAAAAAAAGTTATAATGCTAATATGACCATATTCAGGTTTTTTGGGAGTGAATTTGTTTTGACAGGTTTTACTCAGTGACGTTACTGGATCAGCACTGTTTCAAACATGGTTAAAGTTGCTGTTTGACTGAGACTTGAAAGTTCCCTCATGTCAAAACACAGACTTCACGTGAGCCTTGATCAGAGTATTTTTGTTTGTCTTTTTGGCTTTTATGTGAGTCTCTTCCTTCTCTTGCTTTATCAGAAAGTGCAAGAACTCAAGAGACTAATGAGAAAGGCTGCTGCTCCCTAAATTGGTGTTGTTGGTGTCTGGCAGAGAGAATTGATTGGGAATGCTTGTGATGAAGTTGGAGCACTCTAAAAGAGCCGATCAGCAATCATCATTAATTTGTGGCATAGCTAAAATAGACTCATACAAATTAAGTTGTAAAATTGCTTTTGTGGTGCTATATCACTGGGCAGGATGAATGAACATCAGCTTATCTCACATTTTCTCTCTTCTCCTTTTTCTTTTGGTCATTTTCTTGCAGTATTTAACTGTTGAGCAATCATGTTTTTTGTTCTTGGATGTAAAATATACCATTCTTAAAATGGGAAGATTACTTTTCTTTCTTTAGGAGTAATATCTCTTGAATTTGTGCTGTGAGGAATACTGTATAGTTTTTATACTTATGAACCAAATGACAGCTATGACTTTTAAAAGTTTTTAAATCATTTGATAAGGCTGGAAGATTTTATTGATAAATCAAATTCTCTGTTAATGAAAATGAAATGTTTGGAAAATCAGGATTTTTTTCCAAACCTTGGTTTTCCATAGTGTAGTTCATTACTTTTCTTTTTTGAATGTCTTCTCATAAATAATAAACTATCTGACTATGTATTAGCATTAGCAGAAAACATTTAGTGTTACATTTTATTACATTGTATTTGGTCACATTGGAGGAAACTGTCTATTTAAAGTAATCCCACTGGGATTCTTGTAGACTTGGACGAAGCAATTTAACGAAGGCTCAGACTATTCAACTACCACCTTTAGACAATCACACGATGCTTCTCTGTATTATCTTGTTCTAAAATGGTCTTGTCAGCTTAACAAGCTTGTGTTTAATGGGACATAGACCTTCAAATAATTCAAATTTTTTTCTTACCAGTCCCAAGAATATCTTCCCTAATGTCACGGGGATCACCACTATGTGTCTTGCTTTGTTTTCTGTTTGCTCAGCAGTGGTTTCAGATGTGTCTCTCTCTTGGAAGCCATTTTAGGGAGCCTTTTCCTTATTGTTGGTTTAAGAAAATTGGGCTTAACACCAAGACAACTGAGACCTACTGTGCTTTAAAATGTTTCTCTTGGATCTTTGTGATCTCCTTGATGAGTTTTCCATGCACTCTGTGAGTCATTTTAGTTCTCTGGCCAACCTGGGAAGGCTTAACACTAAGGTGTGCCTTCACCATTTGGGAAAAAATATTATTCCTGTGATAAATTGTATTCTGTATCTTTACTGAGCATCAAGTGTTAATAGAAAAAGAAAATAAATAAATCAAATCTATAAAATAATTTGCTGATTCTTGATGTAAAACATTTTTCTATATAATTATGAAAACTGCTTATTGTGTTTTTAGGCTCATCAGTTCTGATGATCTGAATCATTATATTGCTGCAAAAAAGGAATAAATGACTGAATTCAGTGTAATGCAATTTGGAGTTCCTAGACTTGAACATGAATGCAGCTCATTTACCATTTCCTGCATCACAACCAGAGTCTTTAAAGACTGATCAGGCTTTTTCATTGGGATTGAGTCCTTTTTTTCATGAGAAAAAATTTTTTTTTTTTGGCATTTCGTCTGAGGCCTTCAGGAAAGATGAACTAATTAGGAGATATTGTGTTGCAACCACACCAATGAGCTCATATGAAAGAAAGAATTGTATTTTCTATACTAGATTTTAGACTTAGACAAAATTTATTGTCATATTGTACACACAAAGTGTATACAAAACGAAATTTCGTTCAGAACAGCTCTCCAGACATTTCCATTTCTAAAGTGCAGCAGTGATCAAATGTAAACATGGTGATCAAATGTAAACATAAGACTGTATGATTTACGGTTTTTCCAACAAAACATTCAGCGCTTTTTTTTTTTGGATCTATCTTTTGGTGTCTGGAGACCAACGTTCAACATCCAGTTTCAACTTTGCCGTTAGCCACAATAACTGTAATTTTAGTAAAAGAGAAATGGAAGGACAGCTCTGTGGAAGGTCAGAAAAACCATTATTTTAAGAAACCATGTTGTTGTTTTCAGGTAGGCGATCTAACGGCAGAATTGAGAGTTAATTTGGAGTAACTCTGCTGTTGGTTGGACAACAGAGATTCTCCAGAGATGAAAGGTCAAGATTAAACTTTTTTTTTTGCCAGTGTGAAAGTAGAAAACTCAGCTTCTTTTTCCCAATAGCATCTGATTAGGAGAAAATGTCTTTTTTTTCTTTGCAGATATTTTTAATAACAGCATGATGAGTCACTATGTTGTTCTGTTTCAGCTCATTGACTTAAAAAGGTCTGAAACTGTGAACAATACCAAACAGAGTTTAATAGAGATCAAGGTTGAGCAATGCCAATGATGTGTTGTCTTAGTTGCCTCTAAAAAATGATCTAAGTAAAAAGAATCTGCAAAGTCTGACTTCAGAGCTTTTTATTTTAAAAGCATGTTTGGTATTTTGCTCTTTAAAAATGACTCAAGCAGACAGTTTAAAATGCAGTGGTAACTCCAGCAACAGCTTCCCATGATCACAAAACAGGTGTTGTAGTTACTGTGTTGTTGTTTGTCCCCCAAATGGATTTCCTGCAAAGTTAAGTAAAGTGCTAGTATGTTTAAATCAGATGTATCCCTTTCTTGGTGTTTTCAGATAAGTTCATGTTCCCTGCATCATTCCTGCTTTGGCTTTGAAACATTTCGTACAGCCTTCAGAAGCGATACCCAGTGAAGCGGCTTTGTTGACAACAGTTATTTTATCCTCCTCATTGTTGATGCTGCCTTGAGAAAGAATCCCACTCTGCGCTGAGTGGTGCTGCAGGAGGAGACTGTAGCTTTTGAGATTATTTTCTGGAGGTTAAAGTATGCATTGCATAAAATCAACACATGAATGTTATGATGTGTTTTGGCTTTTTGTAATTACTGATACCGATATAACATTTACATTCTGGTTCTCTGTGCTCACTGCTTTATGTTGATCATATTTAGCCTCAATAGGTCGTCTGCAACAGTTCCTGGAATCAAAACACCAGTGATGTCAGTGGATCAGTGGGGTTTAAAAATTAATCCTTTACTGTCGCGTTTACTGATAAATTTTTAAAAAAAAGTTGCGTGGGTTTTTCATTTTTTGTTTCCCATATGCAGGAAGCATGAGGATTTATTTGAGCATACAAAGCAGAAGCTGATGAGAAGCTTTCCAGAGAATTATTAATACACTGATGTTAATCGTGAAATGGAAGAGACTTTCAGGACAGTAAAGATCCCGCCTCCAAAACCATGGTGATATCCTCAGCTGCTATTAAATTATTGTTCTTGAGCTACTGAACCTGACAACGAACATCCGACAGGTTATGATGCATTTCGCACCTGTCACACCTAATCAACACCCTGAGATTTTCTTCCTCTTGTTTTTTTTTCTTTCTTCTCCCCTGTGTGCCTTTGACTGATTCCCTTCCCTCCTTGTCTGTCTTTCTTCCCATCTCTCACATGTCATGGTGCATAATTTGCGTCCCAGCCTCACTGTGCAAATGGGGAAAATTGTGGTGACAATTTCAATTTGGCAGAAACCCTAAGAGCACATAGTCATTTGACACCAGCTTCTGATTGCTACTGCCCTGATGTGCAGAGAGGCCTGTCCAGATTGTCCCTTGCTCATACTGATGGAGGGTTGTGTAAATATCTATGCGGCAGCCTGCACTGCCACCTTCAGGAGGACTCAGGTTTTTTTTGTTTTTGTTTTTTTGTTTCATCCTTCTCACACAAACTGCTTTGACCTATACAGAGTAACATCCAAATGAAGATTAGGTAGAAAGTACCTGTTCTCTGCATAATGAGAGTAATATTAAGACTGTTCAATGCTAAAAAAATACATTTTTATTTTTTGCTTAGAGGGTTCTGTATTAAAATAATTTAAAATCCAAATTTATGTTCAACCTGATTGCTATTTTTTACAAAACTTGAATTTTGTAAACTATTCATGCAAATTTTTTCCTGTTTTATTTTCTTCACCAGTGTGCAGCAGTGCCCCAGTGAGCATGAAAATCCAGCCGTTGAACGAGTCGGCCTTGATGGTGAGCTGGGAACGGCCCCTTACTATCTACCACCCACCCATCACTAGCTACATGGTCTCATACAGCTGGGTGAAACGGGATGTGGCAGACGAAAAAACTTTCATAAAGATGGGTGACCAAAGCATGGTAAGAATGATCCAAAATCACCAAATCATTTTCATTTAACTTTCTTTGTGTGTTTTATATTTTGATTGTGATTGCTTTGATTTGAATATTTGTTAAATTCCAACCTTATATTGAATTTATGTATATGTAATCCTGCTTGTGCAAATTGTCAGTCCTTTGGGTCATGGCAACCAAAAAATCAGAGGCTCAGTTTTTCTCTGAAAACGTTTCCAGTAGGCCTGCAACTAACTATGGTTTGGCTAATCTATTAATTCGCCAGTTATTTTTCCATTTCATTGATTTATAATCAGATACCAAAAAGTTCCTTAAAGAAGATTTTTTTACACTATTTAAACAAGTTTAAACTAAAACTTTTACATTTGATGAGTTCTAGATAGAGCATATTGACAGAAAAAGTTTTTAATGTCTTAAATGAAAATCTTTTCCTTTTCTTTTTACAATTTGGTATAATTACTGCTCTAAGTGGTTTGGTCTGTCAGCTAAAGACATATTCTGGAGTCTTTATACTCCAGTTAACGATAAGTCAATTACTAAAGTAGTAGACAATTATTTAAATAATCGATTAATCACGATTCATTTGATTTTTTCCACACCTATCCAAGAGTCTTTGTCAATGCTGTCACCTCGCACTAGAGCACTAAATTATTTGTAATGATACTAATTCTCATTTGTAAATATATTTGTGCATTTTGGCACAATTGTATTATTTGTTGTGAACGTTTTAGCTTTATTCAGTTATTTTATTCTAATAGTCAGTGGCTGTTCCTGGAACAGCTGTGATTTGTGTGCAGAGCCTCACATGCATCTGTCAGGCTGAGACAGTGGCCAGATCACTGACAGTGTGTAAAGGGGGAGGCAGGTTGTGATGAACTCTGCATGTGGCTGTTGCTTGATATGAGGACGCAGACGCTTCCCCTGTCACTCACCTGTCTAACAATAGAAACACAGGCCTGTCGCAGACGTTGACGCATCGCGACTGATATATGTATAATGAGCTGACAAAAGCCCTCGTGGCCTTTCCCCACAACCAGCGTTTGCCCTGTCGCCCGTTGTTGGTTTGTTTTTTATTTGTCTCTGTTTTTCTTTTGGCATTGATTTAAATTTGAAGTACATTGTGAAGTCGAGCGGGGTGTAGCAGGGTCTGAAAGTTAATTCAAATTCAAAGCTGTGCAAACAAAAACAGAGTTTACGCTTTAGTTTTAGCAAGGTGGAAAACCAATAAGAATCCTAAAAAAAAACATAAATCTGCAGTGGTTCCCAAAAGTAGAAGCAGCTCTTTGAACACAGGCTTCCTTTAATAACAGATGCAGAGCAATGTAGTCTTTAAGATCTCTGATCCACTGATCGCTTAACTCATTTCTGCCGCCTTAAATATTGGAATACCTCTTCAGTCCTTACATGATCATTCCTTTAAAACATTTTGGCATGTCTACAGAAATAAATCTTCTCTCTGCTTGAAGCTGCACCTACTGGGATGTTCCTTTTTCACACTATATAGCCTTCTCTCCGGTCACATCTCTTTTCATTTCTGAATTTCCAACATCCAGCTGTGCATTTCTTTCAGGCCTTCTGACCCCCTGCTGTCTCCGTAGTTTGCATGACTGCCTCTTTAGATATAAACAGAACCAGGTCAAAACAATCACCCACCAGTTCAGAATAGTGGGATCAGTTCCCTGGTGACACCGCTACCTCTAAACTGGTCATGCATTGCAAAATACACGGTTGCCGTTGCCACGGGTTGGAAGTTGGCGAGACGTCTCGCACACTTGCTGTTCCTGTGACTCCCTTTTTTTGTACGGAACAGTGCGCAGAGAGAGCATGATCCAAAGGAAGGCATTTGATAAACTATTGTAGTTTGAACTAGACTATAGAACTTTGATTTCCTGATTAAATCCAGAATTCATATTTCCTTTTTATTTACAGTGATCTAAAATAGGTAATTGGACCACTGAGCAACAGTCCAGCCCTTTAATCTCTTTGTCTTATAATGTTCTCTCTGCTTTGGGAGTCGTTCAACATGTCTTGGCAAATAGCCCCGAAACCTTGAATTGTTGTCAAGTCTGAGGTTATGTTTGTTTCTTGACCAAGATTTTCTACCATACACTTTCCATCCACTAAAGGACAGTGGCTTCGGATGAAGGACTTTGAATCCTGAGGTTCTGAGTTCGAACCCCACTCCCACACACTGCCACTCTGGCTCTCTGAGCAATACCCTTAATCCCCACACTGCTTCCCGGGCGCCCCGCAATGGCAGCCCACTGCTCCCTAAGGGGATGGTTTAAATGCAGAGGTAAATTTCTCCGATGTGAGATCAATAAAGTTCAATTCAATTATTATTATTGCTTACCCTGTAGCCGGTGTGTTGTTGGTTCAAGACCCAGCACTGGCTTTCAATGTCATTGGGCAAGACACTTCACCTGCATTGCTTACTGATGGTGGTCAGAGGCTCTGGTAGTGCCATTGTACTGGACCCTCGCTTCTGTCAGTGAGCCAAAGGGCACCTGTGGCTACAGTGTAGCCTGCCACCATCAGTGTGTGACTGTGTGCGTGAATGACTGAATGTAGTGTAAGTCAGAAACTCGTGACTTAAACAAAACGCCATATAAGTAGAGGCCATTTGGGAGGTGATGGCCTAGTGGTTAGAGCAGTGCGCTTGTGCACTGAGGAGGTTTACTCAGTTCGATCACTACAGCCTGCACTCTGGGTTCCTGAGCAAGACCCTTAACCCCACACTACTCCCCAGGCATCACACAATGGCATCCCACTGCTCCCCAAGGAGATGGGTTATGATGCAGCAGTGAATTTCTCCATTGAGTTCGCTGATGTTCAATTTTCTATTTTATTTATTTTCTTTAAACTTTCCACTATGCTACGGTATGAACTGCCAACTTCTCTACTACTACTTTAAGTTGGCTAACCAATTTAAGGAAAGTGTCAGCAATTGTCTGATGCCCAAATGCTAAAGTAACAACCACTATTCCTTAATATCAAAATGCACATAAATAAAACTTCTTTTTTTTGCAATAGTTGTGTAGGTTTTTATAGGTCAGTCAAACCACATGGGCTACTTAAGGAACTGGTGCTGTTGACAGATTTGGAAATATTTGACCACCATGTGGATGCTAACCTTAGGGCACAAATAGCTCTGTAAGATGAGCACTGACACTAGCCTACTGCCAAATGAATCACACTGTGATATGAAGGTCAATGTTTTTGAATGGCCATCCCAAAACTGAGGATACATGGTTTGTGTGCATAAGGTGGTGTACAACATTGTAATCATCAACTTTATGTACTAGGTACACCTAAGACAAAATAGAATAGCTGATGCAGACCGACAGGAAAAAAAAAAAAAATTCTGCTTAAGGAAATGAGTTTACATGCATTTTGTTGACTTGTTTTCACGTGTGCACATGTTTAATTGCTTGATCCCAGATTTATTTTTTAAAGACTCCCAGTATTCTACTTTTATGCCCTAAAAATGAACCCTTGTTGAATATTTATAGACTCTATGAGAAGAGTGGGGGTGGAGATGTAATTTTAACATTTTTAAACCAGTTGATTAAACTATTTAGTGAAAAAAAAAAGAAAAGAAAAAGGTTTTACTCACATTTTTTGCCATGCAGCTCATTTTTATGCTGCATGCATTTAAAAAATGTCTGGAAGGGATCTTTTACTTGAAATCTAGCCACTGAAGCTTAAAAGTGATGGGCAACTTAGTTAGAATGAAATAAGAATATAGAGCAATGCTTCTTGCTGTCAAATATGGCCTTCCAAATCAAGTTAAGGCTTTGCTCTGCTAAAGATGGATTAATTTATATTCCCTGAGATTTTTTGAACCCCCAAAAGTCTCTCTAGCTTCCCAACAAATCCAGAAACCTGCCACAACAATGACTGCGGTTGATTTTAAACATAGCTAACATTTCAGTTTCAATCTTCCTCTGCTGGTTATTTGTTGCCCCTGGCAATTTGCAGCAACATTTAGTGACCTTTTTGTTCTCCATCAACCACGCTGAGCCCCGAGGTTGTCTGGCACAACAGTCATATCTCCACAGTCTTAGTTTTCATCCCCTGTTTTCTGAGGCATCGTCAGACAACGGGAGCAAGCAGAGTCTTCTCTATTAGAGCTGCTGTACTGTGGAGAAGCGTGTGTAGGCGTGGGATATGGAGAAGAGTCAGTTCTTAAAGCTCATATTTGAAGGTTGTTTTGTGAGTTAAATAACACAATAATACAACTGGAGGATTCTTGGCTTTTGAAATGCTTTCTGTCTTTACCAGTTCTTTTAAGCTGACTTTCACTTAAATGTCTTTTTTTTTTTTTCAAATATCTTAAATTGGCTGGAGGTTTATATTACTTTTGCTTAAATAGATGCTAAAAGAGAATCATTACCGGTGCATGGGGTGCTGTGTTGCTATATTATATATTAGTCCACTTCTCCCTCAGCTGGCAGTCGCTCTTATTTGGCCACTTTCATTTCCATTTCAATTTTCTGTCTTCTGTGTCTGGAAACTTTATCTGAATTACTTTGCAAAAAAAAAGAAGAACTGGCTCTGGATCAGCATAAGCAATCACCCATCCAATTTTGTTGACAATTTTATTATAACCATAGCCATCTGTGAACACTATTAAATTAGGCGGAAAAATGACAGAAGATTAGTATAATATATTTCCCTTTCAGGTATCACAATCCACTCCTTTAGGTAAAATTTAACTACTACTTCATACTATTTAAATCCTTTTTTAACTTGTTGAAAATGTGTCCATCTTGTGTTCTTTTGCAGAAAGCGGTCATTACTAACGTCTCCCCGGACCTACTCTACCTGTTCAAGGTGCAGGCAGTGTGTCAGCACGACCTCCGCAGTGACTTTAGCCAGAATCTGCTGTTCAGAGGTAAACAGTTAAATCCCTGAAGTGCTTTAGGAGCTCTGCGTGCTACATTTGAACTCTCTTTGAGTCAGGCACGTAATTACTTTGTTTTTAAAAGCTTCTCTATTTTTCTTCTTTCTTTATCAGCAAATACAACAAGGATATTTGAAGGCTCTCGCATTGTGAAGACTGGAATGGTTAGTTGGTCAGAAAATTACTGTTCAAAAGCAAGAACCCTGAACTGTCTGCAGATGTGAAAATCATATATACTTCCCGAATGTATTTAATTTCCTGCTGTGTGTTCCATCCATCCATCC